AGTGGGATTCATTTCTGCATTGCAAGGGAGGTTCAATATTCATGTATCAATCAACGTGATATGTCACATCAATAAAAGAAAGGACAAGAGCCATCTGATCATTTCAATAGATGTGAAGAAAGCATTTAACAAAGTACAAGATCCATTCATGATAAAAACCCCCAACAAAGTAGGTTTAGAGAGAACATACCTCAACATAATAAAGGGCATATATGGGGCGCCTGGGTGGCTCAGTTGTTAGGCATCTGCCTTCGGCTCAGGTCATGATCCCAGGGTCCTGGGATCAAGCCCCGCATCAGGCTCCCTGCTCTGCGGAAAGCCTGCTTCTCCCTCTCCCACTCCCCCTGCTTGTGTTCCCTCTCTCGCTGTGTCTCTTTCTGTCAAATAAATAAATAAAATCTTAAAAAAAAATAAAGGGCAAGTATGAAAAACCCACAGCTAATAACATCTTCAACGCAGAAAAACTGAGAGCCTTTTCCCTAATGTCAGGAATAAGACAAGAATGTCCACTCAGCGCTTTTATTCAATATAGTACTGGAAGTCCTAGCCACCGCAATTAGAAAATAAAAAATAAAAGGCATCCAATCAGTAAGGAAGAAGTAAAACTTTCACTCTTGCAGAACATGAAACCATATATAAAAAACCTGAAAGATTCCACCAAAAAACTGCTAGAACTGATCAACTAATTCAGTAAAGTCACAGGATACAAAATCTACACCAATAATGAAGCAGCAAAAAGAGAAATTAAGAAAACAATCCTATTTACAATCACACCAAAAATAATAAGATATCTAGGAATAGACCTAATCAAAGAGGTGAAAGACCTGTACTCTGAAAACCCAGAAAACCCAGAAAAGGACCCACAATTATATAGTCAATTAATCTTGGACAAAGCAGGAAAAAATATCCAATGGGAAAAAGAGTATATCTTTTAACACATGATGTTGGGGAAACTGGACAGCAACATGCAAAATAATGAAATTGGATCACTTTCTTACACCATATACCAAGATAAACTCAAAATGGATTAAAGACCTAAATGTGAGACCAGAAACCATAAAAATCCTAGAAGAGAATGCAGGCAGTAACTTCTTTGAATCTGCCATAACAACTTCTTTCTAGATATGTCTTCTGAGGAAATGGAAACAAAAGCAAAAATAAACTATTGGGACTACATCAAAATAAAACCCTTCTGCACAGCCAAAGAAACAATCAACAAGACTAAAAGGCAACCTACAGAATGGGAGAAGATATTTGCAAATGATGTATCTGATAAAGGGTTAGAATGCAAGATACATAAAGAACTTATAAAACTCAATGCCCAAAAAACAAATAATCCAACTAAAAATGGGCAGAAGACACGAATAGACATTTTTCCAAAGAAGACATACAGATGGCTAACAGACACATGAAAAAATGCTCATCATCACTTATCATCAGGGAAATGCAAATCCAAATTACACTGTGGTACCACCTCACACCTATCAGAATGACTAAAATCAAAAACACAAGAAACAAGAGGTGTTGGTGAGGATATGGAGAAAAAGGAACCCTCTTGCTCTGTTGGTGGGAATGCAAACTGGTGTGGAGGTTCCCCAAAAAGTTAAGAATAGAACTACCCTATGATCCAGCAATCACACTACTGGGTATTTACGTAAAGAATACAAAAACACTAATTCAAAGGGATACATGCACCCCAATGTTTATAGCAGGATTACTTACACTAGCCAAGGTATGGAAGCAGCCCAAGTGTCCATTGATTGATGAATGGATAAAGAAGATGTGGTATATATACACACAGTGGAATATTATTCAGCCATAAAAAAGCATGAATTCTTGCCATTTCCAATGACATGGTTGGAGCTAGACAGTATAATGCCAAGTGAAATAAGTCAGTCAAATACCATATGACAAATGCCATATGAATTCCACTCATACATGGAATTTAAGAAACAAAACAAATGAGCAAAGGGAAAAAAAGAGACAAACCAAGAAACACACTCTAACTATAGAGAACAAACTGATGGTTACCAGAGAGGAGGCTGGTGGGGAAAAGGGTGAAATAAAGGGTGGGGATTAAGGAGTGCTCTTGTCGTGATGAGCACTGGGTGATTAAAAAAAACTTGGAAAAAAATATAAATAAATAAATAAATAAATAAATAAATAAATAAAAGGGGTGTACATATATGGGGGATTGCCCATATATGGGCATATATGTACTAAGCATAGTACAAGGCACATAAGTGCTCAAAGAATATTAGCTCTTATTATTCCTAACATTATTTTTTTTGATATACATATGTATTATGAAATGATTACCATAGTAAAATTAGTAACACATTCATCACCTCACACATTACCAGTTTTTGTGCGTGGTGAGAACATTCAAGACTACTCTTTCAGCAACTGTCAAATATATGATATAGTATTGTTAATAATAGTAATCATACTGTACATTGGGTTCCCAGAACTTACTCATCTTACAACTGAAAGTTTTTACCCTTTGACCATCTCCCTATTTTCTCTCATATCTGCAGGCCCTGGCAACCATCATTCTACACTGTTTTATGAGCTCTTTTAGATTCTATATGGTATTTGTCTTTCTCTGCTTGACTTATTTCACTTAGCATAATACCCTGAAAGTACATCCATGTTGTTGCAAATGGCAGGAGTTCCTTCTTTCTCACAGCCTGGATATTCCTCTCTCTCTCTCTGTGTGTGTGTGTGTGTGTGTGTGTGTGTGTGTGTGTGTGTGTGAGACATTTTTTAATCCATTCATCCATCAACAGACTTAGGTTGTTTCCATATTTTGGTTATTGTGAACAATGCTACAATAAACTTGGGGATGCAGATATCTCAAGATAGTGGTTTCATTCCCTTTAGATATACACCAAGAAGTAGGATTGCTAAGTCATATGATAGTTCTATTTTTAATTTCTTTTTTTTTTTTTTTTTTTTTTTATTTTTTTTTTTAAAGATTTTATTTATTTATTTGAGAGAGAGAGAATGAGAGATAGAGAGCACGAGAGGGAAGAGAGTCAGAGGGAGAAGCAGACTCCCTGCTGAGCAGGGAGCCTGATGTGGGACTCGATCCTGGGACTCCAGGATCATGACCTGAGCCGAAGGCAGTTGCTTAACCAACTGAGCCACCCAGGCGCCCTATTTTTAATTTCTTGAGGAAACTTCATATTTTCCATAATGGCTGTACCAGTTTACATTCCCACCAACAGTACACAAAGGGTTCCCTTGTTCACATCCTTGCCAATACTTATTTCTTGTCTTTTTGATGATAGTCATTTTAACAGGTGTGAAGTAGTATCTTATTGTGGTTTGGATTTGCATTTCCCTGATGATTAGTGATGTTGAATGCCTTTTTATGTACCTGTCGGTCATATGTCTTCTCTGGGAAAATGTCTATTCAGGTCCTTTGCCCATTCTTTAAATAGGATTATTTGGGTTTTTTTGTTTTGTTTTGTTGCTATTGAGTTCTATGAGTTCCTTATATATTTTGGAGATTAACCGCTTATCAAAACCATAGTTCTCAAGTTTCTCCCATTTTGTAAGTTGTTTTTTCATTTGTTTATTACTTCTTTTGCTATGCAGCTTTTTAGCTGATGTAGTCTCACTTGTTTATTTTTGCCTTTGTTGCTTCTACTTTGGAGTCATATCTGAAAAATCATTGCCCAGACCAATGTCAAGGAGCTTTCCTCCTGTTTTCTTCTAGGAGTTTTATGTTTTGGGGTCTTACAATTAAGCCTTTAATCCATTGCGAATTAATTTTTGTGAGTGGATATCTGAACTTAAAAAAAATCCATCTTGGACGTCCCTAACCATTCCACTCAGTTATTACACAGCGAAATTATACCAAATAAATACCTTCTCTCTTGCAAGAATCACTATTTGTGTGTGTGTTTTTTTTTTAAGACTTTATTTTAATTTATTTGACAGAGAGAGAAAGAGCACAAGCAGGGGGAGCGGCAGGCAGAAGGAGAGGGAGAAGCAGGCTCCCCGCTGATCAAGGAGTCCGATGTGGGGCTCGATCCCAGGACCCTGAGATCATGACCTGAGCCGAAGGCAGCCCCTTAAGCGACTGAGCCACCCAGGCGCCCCAAGAATTACTATCTGTTCTAAGAACCTTTTTTAGAGTGGTAGCTTTATCCTATTCATGTCTTTACCTAAGCCACTTTTGTGTTTAACTGTTTCCTCCTTCATCCGGACTCTCCCCAACCTTTGAGAAAACAACAGGCTTTCTAGGAAGGGATTCATTATTTCGTTCATTCATTCACGAAACAAACCTTTTCTGAGAACTTACTACACACCAAAGGCTAGGTGAGATGCTGAGGATGCAGTGAGGAGCAAACAAACAAAAACAATTTCGGGCTCTCAGTGTGAGGTGGGTCCCCACATCGCAGTTCAGAAAGGGAATGAACGCAAGGTCAAGAACATGGGGGCATCTATCTCACCCAGCACCTCAGAAAACTTGACAGGGCCCTCCCAGTGACACAAGTCACTACGCACTTCTTGGGAAGGCTTTGATATTGAGAGAGGATTTAGGTAAAATGCAGAAAGGACGAGAGCGTCTGCAATTCAGGCAGAAAATAAGCAAACTCGGTTAAAACAAGCAAAACTCTTCAACGCAGCACACTCTGAAAGCTTCGCAGACTCTCCCCATCCTGGTCTGAGGAGTCACCAGGTGAATCTGGAGAGAGGGCGGTGAGCGTGGCCCCACTCCAGGTCTCGGGTGGCCGCGGGACACCAACTGGAGGCTGCGGGGCTGGGGGCCGCCCCGGAGCGCCCCACCGGCCGCTCTCCAGATCCCGAACTTCTCAGCTGCGCCCTGGAACGGCGCTGCAGGGTGTGCGGGGGGCGGGGGACGCCGGGCCTGGTCCGCAGGAAGAGGCGAGGCTAGGCGAGGCGAGGCCGGGCCAGGCGGGGGTGGGGGCCACGCCTCGGCAGAGGCGGGCCGGGCCGAGCCTATTTGAGGCGTTGAGCCACCGCCGGGTCAGGGATCGCACCACCTCAGCGGAAGCCGCGCCGGTAGCAAGCGAGCTAGCGCCGAGGCGTCGGGTGAGTGGCGGGGGCGCGGGGCCGCGGGACGCGGAGGGAGCCCGCTGGCGGCCCCGACCCGGCAGGGGCGAGGGCGCCCGGGCGGGGGCTGGGGGCTGGGGGCTGAGGGCTGGGGGCTTGCCGGCCGGCGGGCGGGCACGGAGAGGCGGGGGGTTGCGTGAGGACCTGGGGGCACCGGGGCACTCGAGGCTTTGACCCCTCGAGAGAGCGCAGTCTGAGGCTCTGGGGAAGTTAGCGGCGCTTTACAAAGACTCACGCACTGATCCTGGGGCGGGCGGTGAGGGGCGCGGGGCACCCTCCGCGGCGACTGGCAGCCTCGGCCACGGCGTCCCGCCCGCGAGCGGGGGGGTGGGGGGGCGCGTTTAGCAACCCCAGCGGCCCGCCCCAGTGTGGGATTAGGAAGCGGGTCCTCCTTCCCTGGGCGCGGGGGCCCTGCCCAGGGACTCTGGAGGCGGCCCCTGCGCCCCTTGACTGGGCTGCGCGACCGCTGGATCTGACTGTGGGGCGCGCACGAGCCCTTCTACCAGGCCCGGCCGCGGTAGGGGTTGCCGCCGCTCTCTGGGTGCTGATCCCACAGAAAGTAGTGATGCCCCAGGGCCTGAGTGGGCATGCGTCTGGCTTGGCGAACAGTGCACATCCAAACTTTTGCAAATCAGTGACTCATCCCTGCCCAGATTGGCTAATTTGGGCATTATCCCAGATCTGTGCTGAGGACGTGTAGGGTGTGGCAGAATGTTGGTCCAAAAAGCGGGGGACAGCTTTTAAAACAGGTTTGAAGATGTATTCTGAATTATCAGGTGCTGAAATAAAAACACTATAATGTAGGGCGCCTGGGTGGCTCAGATGGTTAAGCGTCTGCCTTCGGCTCAGGTCATGATCCCAGAGTCCTGGGATCGAGTCCCGCATCAGGCAGGTCCCTGCTCCTTGGGAGCCTGCTTCTCCCTCTGCCCCCCCCGCCCCCGTCTCTCATGAATAAATAAATAAAAATAAGATTAAAAAAAAACCACTATAATGTATCCACTCTGAGGAGTAGGAGCTGAATGCCAGAGAGTCAGAGACACGTACGGTGAGGCTGTGACTTTGGCTTCAGGCCCACCCCTTCAAGTTAGTGATTCCTATTCCAGATACTGTGGAAGCTGTGTAAAGTGACTCCTGGGAGTTGGATTGCTGGACAGTGAAGACGGCTGAACCGCAGTGACCCAGTCTGTTTCTGGGATTCTGGGAAAGGAGTGGAAGACAGTTCATCTGTGATCGTTGGGAGATGGGAACTGCTTCCTAACTTCATAACGTTTGGGGGTTACACTCAGAATCAGCACCTATTCCATGTTCTGGGGAAAAGTTTGATGATGGTCTTTGAATGTTTTGAGCTTCAAAGTGCTAGAAGGTTACTCACCAGGTTACTTAAGTAGCAGAGGAGGGGGAACACTGCCTGATAGATTGACCCCCAAAGCTAGTTTTTTGCAGGGGTCCTTAAACAATGATGTTTCCCTGTGCTACAAGTGTACATCAGTGCTTTACTATAAAGACTTCACTTATTGCTAGTGAGGTCAAAGGCCAATGTTGGTCTCACCTATAGTTTAGGTACCAACTTGCCTAGAACCTCATCAGCCAGACTCAACATCTGAACCGCAGAGACTTGCATTCATATATTATAACTTGAGCATCTCATGTTGACCTTAAATGCAGTTGGCTTGTGAGATTATTGTATCTGAGACTCATGGTTAACTGATCTAAAACATAGCCTCCCTTTCCTGTGATGGCTTGGAAAACAGGCTCCTGCTGAGGACAGCTGGGTTAACATTTGGTGTCTAGGGCCTGAACTGGTCCTTCTGATTTAATTCTATGTGGTAAGCCTGCCAGAACAGTGCTTGCTGTAAACTTCCAGTGTGCTGCTGACTAAGTATCATGTGTTTGCTCTTGACTGACGTTCAGCCTTTCCATAGGGGGAAAACAGTCAGTAACTGAGAGGCATAAAGTAACTTTACCTTCCTTGATGCTGAGGAACTATGATAAGAAGGAAATCCTAGTGAAGGACCAGTTCCTTTATTCCAACTCAGCATCACCAAATTTGGCTTTGCAAAGTAGGCTTGTTTCAGCAAGGGCGGGAAGTTCTTTGCTGAGGAGTGTGGGCCGTGCCTTGGGGTTCTGAGGAAATGCATTCATGATCTACTTCTCTTTCAGCTTGTGTAAAGGTCAGGGCCCTTTGTGAGCAGAAATTTCAGAAGTGCTCCCAGGAACCCCAGCTACTGGACTAATTGCTAGGTGGACCTAGAATAGCATAGTACAGTAGATAGCCACTCTTTATTAGAGGGAAAAAGCTATAATTAACAGCCAATTAAAAGGGTCTACATTCTGACTCATGTTTAAATTCTTTATTCAAAGCAACACTGAACTACTTCCTGTAGGTTTTTCCAAATGTGAAGACTCAGGTAGTATTTCCTCAGTTTTTTGTTTTGCTTTAATGTAGTGTTTCTTTTCTGGCACTTCTAAATTCTCTGATTCTGGGAATGGCAGGATGGAGTTCACATATCTGTAGTATCTGTAGGGTGAGAAGATTTTTTTACATTTGATTGTGTGTCTATATAAACTGTTCATCTAAAAAGGAAGGAAGGAAGGAAAGAAAAAGAAAGAAAGAAGGAAGAAAGAAAGAAAGAAAGAAAGAAAGAAAGAAAGAAAGAAAGAAAGAAAGAGAAGAGGGAGGGAGGGAGGGCGGGAAATTTTCCAGGCAAGTAAGAAAAATATTTATCCAAATAGATTTTTTTTTTAAAGTTCTGAGGTTGCTAACCTTGATTTCAAAAATGTATCGGTTATAATCTTTTTTTTTTCCATAAAAACTAACGGTTGAGAATGAACATATCAAAACAGTGCATACCTAATTTTTGGAGAAGTACACTTTATTGGTTTAAATGTGGTTATAATTAGCAAAGTGACTGTGCAAAATGGCATCATTGTATTCAATACTGTGTGTATTGAAGCTTACTGAATGAGTCACCCAGCTAGTTTTCTGACAAAAACATGATCTCTTTTTTTTACAATTTCAACATGTTATATAGTTCTGAATGAGTAAGTCAGAGAATTAATTTCTAAGTGAAATAATTAACGCTTTTAAAGGCTATACTTTAAAATTTCAAAGGTTTTACATATAGTGTAAAATGAACCTGCATTAAGAGTAAGGATGCTTGGACCCTGGTTGTTGACCTGCCAAGAACAGAATGACTTTGGGCCACCATATTAGCTCTTTGAGTCTCAGTGTCCTTACCTCTAGAATGGGAATATTAACTTTCCCCTGAAAATCTTATAAGATCATTATCAGAATGAGAATAGGAAAAGTATGGGACAGTGCTTCATAAACTGAAAAGCACCACATTAATGCAGGGTGTCATTATTCTAATGGGCTTGTCTAGTGTGTCACAACATGATGCAAACTGTCACCCAAGGCTTTATGTGAAACACAGTGGAAAGAAAGTGAAATCTGCTTTGTTTCTCAAATTGTTTTGGTTGGAGCTGAAAATAAGCTGAATATGCTTGAGTAGACTTTAAGAAGAAATGTTACATTTTGGAAATGCTGTTTTTGGTTTCTAGTTGTAATCAGCCTTTAAACACATGTTAGCTTGATTGGAGTTATGTTAATATGACACCTTATTAGGCCCATGGTACAGATTTAGCTAGTTTTAACTATTGAAACTAACTTTTTGGTTTTTATTGACCTGTGTATCTACACTTCTGGAGGGATACACATGCCGATCAGCCTAGACAAGTGTTTCTCAGCCAGGCACAATTTTGCCCTCTCCCCGCCCCCCCCCCCTGAGTCCAAGATATGTGGCAACATCTGAAGACATTTTTGTCACAATTGGGAGGTGGGGTATTATGCTGCTGGCATCTTGTGCATTGAAGCCATGGATGCTCTCCATCCTGTAATGCACAAGACATCTCCAGCGGATGGGGAAAGTCGTTACAGAATAGGAATATTTAAGACAAGTCAAAACACTTATAAAGTTGTAAGTCTGGGTCTTTGGTATGTTGTGCAGGAATGGAAGAAGTTTGTGTAATCAAAGGAACTAAACTTTCTGCCCACCATGAAGTTCAAGATTGTTTCCTACTGGCCTCCAAAATGTTTTCTTAAGAAATGCCCTTTCTGGGCGCCTGGGTGGCTCAGTTGGTTAAGCGACTGCCTTCGGCTCAGGTCATGATCCTGGAGTCCCGGAATCGAGTCCCACATCGGGCTCCTGCTCAGCGGGGAGTCTGCTTCTCCCTCTGACCCTCTTCCCTCTCATGCTCTCTATCTCTCATTCTCTCTCTCTCAAATAAATAAACAAAATCTTTAAAAAAAAAAAAAAGAAATATTAAAAAAAAAAAAAAAGAAATATTAAAAAAAAAAAGAAAGAAATGCCCTTTCTAGGGGTACCTGGGTGGCTCAGTCGGTTGAGTGTCTGCCTTCAGCTCAGGTCATGATTCCGGGGTCCTGGGATCAAGTCCCACATTGGGCTCCCTGCTCCCCAGGGAGTCTGCTTCTCCCTCTGCCTGTGCCCTTCCCCCCCCGCCCACTCTCGGGCACGCTTGCTCTCTCAAATAAATAAAAATCTAAAAAATGAAAATGTCCTTTCTAGGGCACCTGGCTGGCTCAATCGGTAGAGCAGGCAACTCTCAATCTTGGGGTTGTGAGTTTGAACCCCACATGAGGGTGTAGAAATTACTTAAACATAAAACCTTAAAAAAAGAGAAAGAAACATCCTTTCTTTTCCTTTTCTGTAACAATGCTTGTCTCAAGTTCCTCCTGCGGTTACAGCACACTTTTCTAAGCAGCGGAAGCCTTTTGGGGAAGGAAGCACAAGCAGAGGAACACCTGACTTCTGCTTTAAAAGATCAAATGCTATAGGAAATCCAGGAATGGAAGCCCTGGGAGAGTCACTGTGACTTCCCAGTCAAGTTGCCAGCAGTTTCCCATGTTAGAAGACGGATGTGGTGATACCTAAACTGCTTCCAAATATGTTTGAGAATGCCCGGATTTAAAAAAGAGATGTGCAAAAAAAAAAAAAAAAAAAAAAACCTTAATAGAAGGTAATATTTAACTGTGGTATAAATAACAGCAGAGTATGAGAAAACATCTGATGTGTATAAATGGAGGACATTAAGTCCTAAGAGGAGTTCTGCCTATTTTTTTTTAAATGGTGTCTTTTTTTTTTTTTTTCAAGATTTTATTTATTTATTTGACAGAGAGAGACACAGCGAGAGAGGGAACACAAGCAGGGGGAGTGGGAGAGGGAGAAGCAGGCTTCCCGCCGAGCAGGGAGCCCGATGCGGGGCTTGATCCCAGGACCGTGGGATCATGACCTGAGCCGAAGGCAGACGCTTAACGACTGAGCCACTCAGGCGCCCCCTGCCTATTTTTTTTAACCAAAAAGTCTAATATTTTAGATTTTTAGGACCTATTATAGGATCCCTTGGGGGGTAATGTCATTTCTTAAATAATTTAGTAAATATCACAAGTGGGCAACTCAAGGGAAAAGAGATTCTGATTGTTTAAGATCCAGGTCACTTTGGCTATAGGACTGGTGATCCTGACCCAAGAAAACTCACTCAGGCCTCACGAGTCCAAAGCTGCCCTCTTCCCCTCACTGCCAGAGCACCTGCAAGTGGGAGCAGGTGTAAAACATCTTAAATGGTTAGAGACTTGACATAGGGAGAGGAGCAGGAGAAAGAAGGAATGATGTGTCAAGGCCACCCCTGGAATCAGTTTTGGGCAAAGCCAACTCTCTTTGGTAGCATCCTACCCAAAAATATTTTCCTCCACATTGCCTGACTTCTTTTCTTTTCTGTTTCTTTTTTCTTTTCTTTTCCTTAAACCCTAGTTTGTTATACTGCCAGAGTTTCGTTTGGAGTAACAAATATCTTTAAAAAAAGAAAAAAAAAGCATCTTATACCTGTCTTTCATCTTTATTGCTCCACATCTGGATCTCACCTCTCCTTTAAGGCTTAGCTCAAACACCACAACCTCGTCCCCTCTTAGAAGTAATAGTTCTAGTTGTGACTCTCCATCACCCAGTCTGGCTCACAGCATCGATCCCTTGTGATCCCTGCCGGCCTGTGAGCCCTTTGACCATACAGATCTTGGCCTATCCATCTTCCAACCCAGGCAAGAGCCCACACAGTGCCTGGCCCAGAGCAGGCATAAATATGTGCAAATGAGGGAATAAATAATTGGCAGCAACTGCATCTAGGGGCATTGGTTTCAAATCTCAGTAGGAATCCGTCAACTCTGCTTTCCTGCTAAAACCCAGAAGAGGGCATGGGGCTTGATCTGAGGAACGGGAGGGGAGGTTAATGATAAGAGGTGGTGGAAACAACGCCCAGGAAGGAAGGTGAGGAGGACCACAGATGAACCGGGACTGTTTGTGTCTTTACCAAGGAAAGGGGCAGAACATTATCTTCCTCGTTCTTCTCTCTCCTGTGTTGTTTGGCCTGTTACTCCCAGGATTCAGAACACAGGCTAGTATGATTAGAGTTTAAAATTATGAGTTAAATAGGGCTTGGTGATGTAGCTGGAGTGCATCCCTGCTAGAGCTGGTTTTGTGGTTCCACACTATTGATTTAGGTGTATTTGGGGAATAAACTGGCTTGGTTAGAAGAATGCCTGTAGATCATCTAGAACTGCCCAATGAACTATTTGTGATGTTATGTTAATACGGAAACTGGTGAAATCTAGGATCAAATGATAACCTATCTTTTTTTTCCCCCTTTCAGGAAAATGGCAGACAGTTTTTCGGTAAGTATTTTATGTCTATTTTTTTTTACCATAATACACATTCCATGTAGGTTAGGGGCTTTCTTCTTTACCACCAAACATCCCCTTCTAATTCCATCACCCTGCGGCTTCCTCTGGCCTTAACTGACCAGTGAGACCTTGTGAGCTGGGTCTTGTTTTTCCAGCCGTTGGTTCAGGAAGAAAGCCAGGCAGATAGAGGCCTGGGACTCACTAACAGTAACTCCCCTACTGAAAAGCCTGGGACAGAAACAGGTGGATTCCATGGGCAGGAGCTGAGAAATAATATGAGCAAAAGGAAGTGTGGTGCAGTCTGAGCATCCTGATTTCTGTGATTGTTCTTCTCCTGTCAGTTAGAGAGGATGTGCTTTTACATAGAGGAAGGCTAGCTCCCGACTTTGGCAAATTATAAAAGGCAGCCCTCCATGATCTCAGATGATGGGAAGCAAGAATAAAGGGAGGCAGGAAATGCAGCAGCTGCCCAGACACCCCGTGAGGCAGAAAGGAGCAGGGAACTACTCCGGCTTCTCCCTTCTCCCCATTCTTTAATCTCCTGCCAATGCTGCCCCTTAGCCAGACTCATCTGGAAGCCTAGAAACCACCATCTGCAGGGGTTAGATCCCCTGTGATCAGCACAAGGCAAAGAGAAGGATGGATTTGACCAGTACATTGCCACATGGGGAATATGGCGGGACTGACTCTTTGCTGTCAAACATGGAACTCATTGAACTGTGGGAACTCAGGCCCATCACCCTGACCACCTACTGTAGGGCATCTTTTCATATGAACCATGCAATTGCTTGACTGTGATAAGCCATGATCAAAAAAACCCCCCAAAACAAAAAAAACACAGATAAGGCAAGTACAGGCCTATATCAGATACCACTGTGTGTGGCCATGTACCTGTTGTGGCTGCCAGGGACAGGCTTGTGGTTCTGCTAGAGGTTAGAAATGGGACTGGAAGCCCTTTCAAAGCCACTAAGAAGGGGACCACACCTTCCAGAAATCCTCCTCTGGAATGGTCTTGTGAAACCGGGATGGGGATTCTTATTAAGCCATCCTTGTTCTTTGCAAGGAAAAGTCTATGCCATTTGATAGTTGTATTAACTTTACCATGTAGTTAATATATTGACCCTATATGGCCAAGAAAATATAACAATCATTATTAGAATTATAATCCATCAATAAAATGCACTCTTTATGGTAAGAAAATTCATGTTGAGAACCGTAAATTGCTTTGCTTATCATTTTCTATATGGCTTTCCTCCTCCCCATACAGACAGTAATCAATCTGGAATCCCACTTACTTAATGGCATGATCTGGCCTTTTAAGAAAAATAAACTTTGAAATCTTACAATAGTTTTAGATTTACAAAAAATTGCAAAGATAGTACCAAGAGTTCCCGTATACCCTACACCCACTTTCCTCTATTATTAACGTCTTACATTAGTATGGTACATTGGTTACCATTAATAAGCCAGTACTGATACATTACTTCCTAAAAAAAAGAATAAAGTGATGAAGCATATATAATCCCAAAGCCTAATTTTAGTCTTAGGAACTGCAAACTATTTAATAGGTGGAAAAATTTTTATTGATTTGAATTTTTTTTTTTTAAGATTTTATTTATTTATTTATTTATCAGAGAAAGAGAGAGCGCACAGCAAGGGGAGGGGCCAGAGGGAGAAGCAGGCTCCCTGCTGAGTAAGGAACCCGATGCAGGACTTGATCCCAGGACCCTGGGATCACGACCTGAGCCAGAGGCAGACGCTTAATGACTGAGCCAACCAGGCGTCCCTATTGATTTGAATTTCATACCCTTACCATATCCCTCTACTTCTTAGATCACATATTCCTGTTTTCCTGAAAATTCTGTTTTTATGAATGTTTTTCATCCTGTAATTGTTGATGTTTTTCTTTCCAGCTTAATGATGCTTTATCTGGGTCTGGAAACCCAAACCCTCAAGGATGGCCTGGTCCATGGGGAAACCAGCCTGCTGGAGGCTACCCAGGGGCCTCCTATCCTGGTGCCTACCCTGGACAGGCCCCTCCTGGTGGCTATCCTGGTCAGTCACCTCCTGGAGCCTACCCTGGACAGGCCCCTCCTGGTAGCTACCCTGGACAGGCCCCTCCTGGTGGCTATCCTGGTCAGGCACCTCCTGGAGCCTACCCTGGACAGGCCCCTCCTGGTGGCTATCCCGGTCAGGCCCCTCCTGGTGCCTATCCTGGTCAGGCACCTCCAGGAGCCTACCCTGGCCCAACAGCACCTGCTTATCCTGGACCACCTGCACCAGGAGCCCACCCTGGGCAAGCGAGTGGGCCTGGGGCCTACCCACCTCCTGGACAGCCAAGTGCTCCTGGAGCCCACCCTGCTGCTGGCCCCTTTGGCATCCCCGCTGGACCACTGGTAAGATGGAACTAGGCATTTCATAGACTTGATTGTGATCAGGACAAAGCTAATGAAGAACCAACACACTAATTGTCTGGAGCGTTGGTGCCATTACTTGCTGTGCTCTGGCTGGGAGCTGGCTCTGGGCACCAACCTGCAAAGGACTTCAGAGAGACCTGAAGCTTTAAACTCGCTGGCTAAAGCCACTTTTCAAGGACCAGCCATGGTGTATGTCAGCCCAATAGAAAAAATCATTGTTTGTATTGAGTTTAGTATGGGAACTGTTAGTATAAAGAGAAGTCAGTATATCTTTTGAAGACATCTGTAAAGCAGCTTTAATATAAATGAAGTTAAGATCATAGTAATGGGGGAACATTTTGGTTACCATTATTAATAAACACTGAGCACATAACACGTGCCAGCAGTGTGCTTCTACATGGATGATTTCATTTAACCCTATATCCGCCCCCTAAGCTACTGTTATTGTCCCTACTTTACACACACGGAAAGGGAACAAGAGAGAGTTATACAGCTTGTCTGGGGTCATAGAAGAAACATGTAGGGAAACCAAGGTAATGTGGTTTTGAAAAACCTTCTAAAGATAATTTTGTGATCTAAGCATTAAATTTTCATTTATATTAAAACCCATTTTAGTAAATGAATTCTAAGTGGAAAACCTAACACTGTGGGGACTCTAGACACGTCTCAGACACAGATCCTTCCCTTCCAGTTGTGTAGTCGGGAGATAATATACAGATGTGGGGAAAGTGTTCAGTAGCCGCGTGGGATCAGACCCTTCCAGTAGCGTGTAGACGTTGGCACAGGTAGCGTCTGACCTGCTTTTAGGTCAGCCTAGAGGAGAGTATGGAGAAGGCGCTGGGAGCATGGGCAACATTGGGCAGGCATCAGTCGACCACAGTTAGTCATTTGTAGACAGGTGGGGACATGGAGGCAAGGAAGAGGCAGATGTGAGAGAGGTTGCAGAGGAAGAACCCCAGGAACTAGTGGTTAGGTCTTAGTCAGGGATGGTGGGGTTTTCAAGGCTGGGCAACGAGAGCACCAGCCACAGGTCAACACAGACCAGGAACTCAGGAAGGAGACCTGGTGGTGGGGGATGGGGAAGAAGAGACAATTCCAGTTCACACCTGTTGGCTTTGAAGCATCTGTAGGAAATTCAGATAGGAGGAGGTTTGGGGCCCGAGAGAAAAGATTTGGGTGGTGGTTGAACCCAGGTGGAAGAAATTAGGAAGGAAAGAGAGAAGAGGCCAAAGGGAGTTTTGGGAATATTTACAGCACCTTGAACCTAGATGGTTAATACATTTTTGTGGAAGAACTAGGGAATGTATTAAATGAAAAGTGTTCATTCCACAAATATTTAGTATCTGCCACATTCAGAGCCTCCTGTTGATGCCATGTAAGTAGAACTTATAAGAACTCATTAAGTCCCCGGATGTGACACAATGCCTGCCCCCAGGGAGCAAAATGACTGTGATGAAGTATGTTATGTGACCAGGTTCTTACAAGTGGCACACAGTTGTACAGCTAAAAGTAATTTTAAAAAAAGAAGGGTGGCACAAAAATGTTAATGTTGACTGCAAGGTCTAGCCTAAGCCTTTCCGAAAAATAGTCCAAGTAAATGAATTATAGATTGGGATGACCTTAGTAACAAGAGATACAGTGGTCCAAAAGGGAATATGTTCTGTCTCTGGCACCAATTAACTGATGGCTTTCTTCTTCTCTTTTTTTAAAGATTTATTTATTTATTTGAGAGAGAGAAAGTGAGTGAGAGAGAGAGAGAGAGAGAGAGAGCACAGGCAGGGGGTGGGGCAGAGACAGAGGGAGAAGCAGACTCTTTGCTGAGCAGGGAGCCCGAGCAGGGAGGCAGATGCTTAACTGAGCCACCCAGGCAGCCCTTGATGGCTTTATTCTTGATTATTACTTGTGCAGATAGGAAGCCTTATCCCTTCAGGCCCTGGGCAGGGTGACCAGAGAGTCTGGAAAAATGGCTTAAATTAGGGTTATGTGTTAGTCACATTAGCAACATATTTTTCTTTCTTTCCCCAAGAAGACATGACTCTTTATTGATATGTATATGTTTTTTATTCCCAGACCGTGCCTTATGACCTGCCTTTGCCTGGAGGAATCATGCCTCGCATGCTGATAACAATTCTGGGCACAGTAAAGCCCAATGCAAACAGGTAAAAAACAATATTAGCAACTCTAACATATTTGTCAATTGGTTTTTGAGTAAAGGATGATCTATTTCGAATTTTAATAAAATTTTTTAAAACTATGCATTTAGAATTCTATACTATAGAATGGGGTTATCCCATAAATCGGTGTGTGTTCCCACCAAGGGGACAAAGTGTCCCTCACTAAATCTTGTTTTTCTCCCAGAACCACAATGAAACAGTTCTACTTTTTTTTTTTTAAGACTTTATTTATTTGAGAGAGAGAGATCATGAGCATGAGCAGGGGGAGGGGCCGAGGGAGAGGGGGAAGGAGGCTCCCCATTGAGCAGGTAGTCTGATGCGGGGCTCGATCCCAGGACCCTGGCATCATGACCTGAGCTGAAGGCAGATGCTTAACTGACTGAGCCACCCAGGCGCCCTGAAACAGTTCTGCTTTGTGAGGACAAAGAGAAAGAGCAGACAACCCATACAGAAAAACCTAGGTTCTCCCTGGCAGTGAGAACCTTAGAATTTAAGGGAAGGACGGCCTTTGTAATGTAATGCTTGGCCATCTCTCCACCTCTGAGCCATATGTTGTCTAAAAAACCAACCATGCACTTTGTATCTAAATGACCATCAAAAATTAGGGTCAGAAACACAAAGATCGCACTGGACGTCATTTTGAGTTGATCTGAGAGCTTGCACATCATACCACTCTCTCCTCATATTTGGACAGATCACCCTGCAGTTGTGAAGGTCACAGTGCAGTCTCAGATCTGGTGAGCTTGACCTCCATTTCCGCCTTCCTACTGGGCATATCAGCTGAGTCACAGATTCCCATGGGGTCAGCCAGGTCTACGGATGCTAAGTGGCGGGATGGGGGAACCCCAGTCTTCTGAATATACAATTTACATAAAGATTTGAAAAGATCCTACAAGTTAAAGACTTCCTCAAAAGAAGTCAGCCTTTGCCATTGGAACTGGTTTGATAGAGGTGAGCTAGGATGGAATGAGACTCTGAGCTAATTTAGGAAAAGCCGTGCTGACTTATGGCAGCCTTGGGATGCCTGGGTCTGTTATCACCACCGGTTATATTTCCATGTAATACAAGCAGGTTAAGGATATCCTGAAGACATCCAGTATGCCTGTCCCTGAGGTTAGTGGGACCATTAAAGCCCCTGCTGCGGCCATAAATTAATCCATGTTTCAGGGTTTTATAGACAGTGCACAAAAGGTACAAAATCAAGCTATGCACACAGGTTTACAAGAATCCATAAACAACCTGTGTCTGTCACTTTGTGCTCCTGGTGGATCAATGGGAACCCCCTTTTCTGTTACCAGGAAATGGACTCAGCCTCTGATATAATCATTGTACATTCAGCAGCCCATTCACGCATACCTCCACCAGCCTTCACCAGTTCTGTGTGGTAGCCAGTACCTTAAGCCCCTTCTTTCCACACAACCTCTACAGCTTCTCTAAACACAGTGCTTACCTGTGCAATAAAGCTTGTCTCACAGCCAGTTACAAAATATATATATCCCTGCCTATGTCCTTGTCCATCTTTCCTCCCCAAATAACATAGAACCCAGCACACCTGAGCCTGGGCACGATTTGTGAGTATCTGCTCTCCTCCCTTAGCCACGGTCATACAGAACCACACTGGTGTGTTTGCCTTATTGAGGGTTTTTGCACTAGAAACTTTAGCTCCAGTAACACTAGAGGTGTAGACAGAGACTGTGGCAGATTAACACTCATTTTGGTGGAAATGGGTAAGATGGTATTAAACTGAAAAAATGGTTGCTTGGTTCTGCAAAATCTATGTGAGGAATTACCTGAAAAAAAAAAAAAGAATGCTTAAAGTGGTAGAGATGGCAAGATCCTCCTTTTCACTGTAGAGAAAAATACAGCCATTGGATTTTTTTGGTCAAATACAAATGCTGTTGTCATCTGACTATATTGGTCCTCTCCCTGGGCATTTAATGACTGGAAGATACATTTGTGGTTATATGTGTCTGTTAACGGGTAAATGAAAATGCCCAAGGAATCATTGTTAATAAGTCTAGGGTGTAGACCTTGCTTTCAAACAAGAGCCCCGGTTGATTCTGATGTTAGTGTTCCAGGGAGCACACTTTGAGAAGCTGAGAGATAGGGTTAATACTTGAACAGTTCAAGGCCTTGTGTTTGCATTAACGTCCAAGGAGAAGGAACAAGGTCAAAAAGTTAAGCCAGCACTACCATTAATTCATATCAGGGAATGTAACACATTTATCGCCATGACGTTACAACTTAGCAACAGGACACTGAACATTATGTTATCTCATTTTTGTTATTTTAGGACTAGGTTTTTGGTTAACTATAAGGAAGCCAGGTATTTGATACCTTCTACTGATGTGACTGGCTTGCCTTTAATAGGTATTAAAAGTAACTGGCAGGGCAGGAAAGAGCTAAGCATTATTATTTGCCATGTACAGCACAAAGCGCCCTCAAAGTGGACCTAAACTTCTATAAGGTAACCTTGATGAGTTTTCATAGTAGAGGTAGTTAAAGAGGGAATGGAGTGATGTGACCAAAGACAAGGAGGCAAAAAAATGGAACACGTACTACCTTGCTTACTTTCAGATACTACAAGAATACATCAGATACTAGGCCTCGTATACTTTCCAGTTTGAAGCCAAACTCTGGTTTGTTTGCTTCTGTTTGAAAATGTTCCTGTATTTTATAAAAAATGATTGGGTCTTTAGAAAATTGTATGTTCTTCACTTGATACAAATGTACAGCTTGAATCATTTTACTAACTCTGGTCTTTTGGTTTAAAACAGACTTGCTTTAGATTTCAAGAGAGGGAATGATGTTGCTTTCCACTTTAACCCGCGCTTCAGTGAGGACAACAAGAGAGTCATTGTTTGCAATACAAAGCTGGATAACATCTGGGGAAAGGAAGAAAGACAGGCGACTTTCCCATTTGAAAGTGGTAAACCATTTAAAGTAAGTTATTGCTACTATTATATATTGATAATGGATATTTCTCATGGGAATCACTCTTACAACCATAAGGCCACTTGAAATGAATTTATCCGCTATCCTGGGACACCTAACGGGTACATCTGCTCCCCATCCCAGGGCACCAGGCTCAACAGGACTGGCACACTCCCCAGCTCCATTCCCACCCTTCACCACTGTCCCTGTTACCACACCTTTGAGTTTAAGCTTTTCTGGAAATGAGGAAAATAGCATCTTTAATAAAGAAGGCAGAAGGGGGTGCCTATGTGGCTCAGTTAAGTGTCTGACTCTTGATTTCTGCTCAGGTCTTGATCTCAGGGTTATGAGTTCAAGTCCCATGTTGGGCTCCACACTGGGCGTACTTAAAAAAGAAAAAAAAAGGACAGAAGGTCTCAATAGTCCAGTTGGGCTGAGACTTAGTACCTTAATACAACATAGTTGGCATTGCAATCAAAGCTAATTTTTTTTAATTCTAAAATTAAGACGTTTTATGAAAAAAATTTTTATAGAGTTTCAAGTTAAAAAGACCTCCATCCTTTCCCCTTTCTCCCAACCTCACAGAGGTTGCAACTTGGTTAACATCTTTCCAGTATTTTCTATGACATACAGCACTGTTTATTTATTTTAAAAACTTACTAAGTAACCTCTACCCCTGAACACATGACCCCAAGATCAAGAGTTACATGCTCTACCAACTGTCCCAACACCCTTTTTATTTTTAAGCACTGCTTTAACAAATACTAGGTCCACAGTACTGGGTTAGCTTGACAGTAGAGTGCGCAATACAACAACTAGACTATAAACTTCTCAAGGGCAGGGACTTATAGGGACCATATTCTATATTTGGTGGACATCTTCTCACATTACAACATTGTTACTTAATAGTATTTCATTGCTGGGCGCCTGGGTGGCTCAGTCATTAGGCGTCTGCCTTCGGCTCAGGTCATGATCCCAGGGTCCTGGAATCGAGTCCCACATCAGGCTCCCTGCTCCTTGGGAGCCTACTTCTCCCTCTGCCTCTCTCTCTCTCTCTGTCTCTGTCTCTCATGAATAAATAAATAAAATCTTTAAAAAAAGTAGTATTTCATTGCTCAGATATGTGCTAATTCTATGAGTACCCTATGGATGATAATTTGGAGTATGGAAATATTCCAAACAAATAAAACCTGAAAGTTTATTTTACTAAAATACTGTAATAATGGTCCTTATAAATCTTTGCTTCCTAGAACAAGAATTTTATTCCAAGAATGTACATATTTTTTAAAAGATTTTATTTGAGACAGAGAGAGAAAAGCACAAGCAGGGGGTAGCGGTACAGGCAGAGGGAGAGGGGGAAGAAGACTCCCCGCGGAGCAGGGAGCCAGATGCCGGGCTCGATCCCAGGACCCTGGGATCATGACCAGAGCCAAAGGCAGATGCTTAACTGACTGAGCCACCCAGGTGCCCCTCAACAATATACATATTTAAACTTTAGATATTGCCAAAGTGCTGCTTCCAAAATGCTGTAAGGATAAACCTGTTCACTACTAGCTGTTGGAAGAGTGTTTCCCCTACTCTGGCCTAAACTGGTTATTATCAATTTTTGCAACATTTGCCACTCTATAGAGGATTCCTACTTTAGTATTCTATTTTCATTTATTTATTGAAGTACAGTTAACACAGGATGTTGCATTAGTTTCAGGTGTACAACGGAGATCTTCATCTCTTTGTTATGCTGTGCTTACATCTGTCACCATACAACACTATTACAGTACCACCGACTATATTCCCTATGCTGTACCTTTTACCCCATGACTTACATCCCATAACTGGAAGCCTGTACCTCCCACACCCCTTCAACCATTTGGTCCATCCCTGTATCCGCCTCCCCTCTGGCACCATCAGTTTGTATTTATAGGTCTGTTTCTGCTTTTTGTTCATTTATTTCTTCCTTTGATTTTTTTTTGGATTCCACATATAAGTGAAATCATGGAATTTGTCTCTTATTTCATTTAGCATAATATCCTGTAGGTCTATCCATGTTGTCACAAGTGGCAAAATCTTTTTTTTTATGGCTGAGAAATATCTCATTGCGTGTGTGTGTGCGTGCGTGTGCGCACGTGTGCGTGGTATATGTATAGATACCACATCTTCTTTATCTAGTCGTCTATGGATCCACACTTGCATTGCTTCCATATCTTGGCTATTATAAATAATGCTGCAGTAAACATAGGGGTGCGTATATCTTCTCAAACTAGTGTTTTCATTTTCTTTGGGTACTTACCCAGTAGTGGAATTACTAGATCATATAGTATTTCTATCTTTAATTTTTTGAGGAACCTCCATACTGTTTTCCAAAGTGGCTGCACCAATTTACATTCCCACCAACAATGCATGACTGTTTCTTTTTCTCTACGTCTTCGCCAGCACTTGGTGTGTTTATATTTTTACTTTTAGGTGTTAGCCATACAAAAACTTTGTTTTTATGGAGACACATTATTTATCTTTACCTTTATAGCTTCACCTTATCTTTATCATGTTATCTTTTTTCATTTTATTTTGCTTGAATCTTTGAATAATCTGTGGAGTTTATTTTTGCTGCAAAGTTCCTTTTTTGTTTTTATTTGAGAGAGAAGAGAGAGAGCACAAGCAGGGGGTAGAAGCAGGCTCCCCACTGAGCAAGGAGCCTGACGTGGGACTCGATCCCAGGACCCTGGGATCATGACCTGAGCTGAAGGCAGACGCTTAACAACTAAGCCATGCAGGCGCCCCCAAAGTTCCTTTCTTGAAACTTCAGTCAGTTCCATAGATGATCAGAAAGATGAAATGTGGGACATTCTCAGCTCAGGCGAGACTGGTTTTAAAATTGATGAGCATTTCTTTTTTTTTTTTTTAAGATTTATTTATTTATTTGAGAGAGCGAGAAAGAGAGAGAGAGAGTGAGTACATGAGAGAGGGGAGGATTAGAGGGAGAAGCAGGCTCCTCACTGAGCAGGGAGCCCGATGCGGGACTCGATCCCGGGACTCCAGGATCATGACCTGAGCCGAAGGCAGTCGCTTTACCAACTGAGCCACCCAGGCGCCCATCTTTTTGCTCCTTTTAACTATTTTTTCTCTCTAGACTATACTTAGCTGTTTTCAAATCCATATTTGATACCAATGAGACAATCTTGCTGTAGGTTCTCTTGGTTTTTATGAAATCTCTGTATTTCTAGAGGAAAATTAACCTCTTAATTAGATATGTGATCAGCTTGAAAACTAATAGTTCCCATTGCCAACATTCTTAACCATGCCTTTCTGCCCTTCCTCATTACTAGCAGGCCCAAAGATTCATACAATTTCAAAACTAGGATGTAGTCATAGCACTTTACTTTATAAAAGAATCAAAATATTGTTTGGTCTATTTATTGTTTCTATACACCATCTTCTCAGATACTTTTATTGTCACAAGTTGGGTTCCCCAGGAAGCAGAGATTAGAACCCAAAAGGTTTAGGGGGGAGAATCTTGAGATCAACAGCTGTTGGGACCAGAAGGCACAGGATCGGGCAGAGGGAGAAGCTGGGTATCGAAGCCTCAGCCCACCCTACAGGCGTTCTGAAGCCGGGATGATCCTTTGGAGCTGTCAGGAGGGGGAAGTCCTTTCTATCTTCACTTCGATCAGTCAACAAATACAAGGCACCTGAGAAACGGTATGACCTCGGGAGAAGCGGCTGTCTTCCCCTGAGGTAGTTCTCATCGAATGATACCTGAATGCCTTCTAACAGCACTTGTAGCAATTAAAAAGACTTTCAGTCCTAAAGCGGGATGTGAGCAGTTTATTTCAAAAAACTATGTTACTTCCTTACTCCAACATTCTCATCTTGACTCTTCCACACCTATGATTAAGTGGAAAACATAAGCTATGATAAAAAGGGGGAACTTGGTTTACACAAAATTATTTAAATCCTGAGCCTTGGTTCCTTTGTCTATAAAATGGTGGTATAATACACCTTTTGTAGGGTCACTGTGATCGTTGAATAAATGTTGTTTACAAAGGGGTTGCCATATAGGAGGTCCTCAACAAATGGAAATTTTTTTTTTTTGTTTCATTTTTGGAAAGGCATTTGTTCTGCGAAGCAATATTCTTTCTTTGTATCTTTAAAGATTTTTCTAAAACCTTGTAATTCTCGAGTCCAATAGCCTAAGAACACTATCTAGTTGTAGGGTATACTGATGGCTGCTTAGCCATCCATTCCCTGTTTCCTAATAGTCATGATTTTATTCAACTATAATCCTAGATAAAATAAGGAATTCTGATTAAAGACCATATCAAAATACCCCCACTTCCCTCAAGAAACACTATCATATCTAAAACACACTTTGATGAACACTGAATATTAAAACATTTTATGACAATTTTATAAATTGATTGAATAGAAGTGAACACAAATACATACTCTTCAATTTTCAACACACTAACAATATATATGACCCCAATAGGACCCAGCCACAGAGAAGCTGACAGCAAGGATGACAGAAACTATGAACGTAATGTTGGACCTTGATACCATCATGGAGCTGTTGATTGGAAAGTGCTTGGAATCACCCTGGCAACTTGTGAAAATAATAAACTTCCCTGTTACTAAGCCAGTTGGAGTTCACTTTACTATCACTAAACAGCCAAAAGTTCTCTGAACAAGTCAACAGTACATCTTATTAAAACCACAAAAAAATCATGTCTACTGACATTGTTTTTATTCTCATTTGCTTTATCCTTGAGGGCAAATATTTTATTGTTTTGTTGTATATTGCTTTATCTAGATTCTAAGTCTTTGGGTTTCTTTGCACCAACTTCTTCTGCATGCTCATATGCATGGGCCCTTAGAAAACCCTAACTTTTATGTATGTTTCTTTGTTCTGCATGTCTTGCTTGAATTATTCATTAATGGGCTGTTAAAGCTGCTTTTATCTTTTGGTAAGATTAGGTATTCTGAGAACATTCTTCTAAGCCAGCACCTCACATAGCCTAACTGCTCATATGGGCTTGATAATAAATACTATCTTTCCCACAAGCCTAACATGCCTTTCTCTGACAACAAAAGTGGATGTGTCTTTTCTTTTTGAAAACCTCTAATCTTACACGTTTATAAAGCTGCTGCTTGTTTGGTGAATGCCTCCAACCCTAACTCATTTAGAGGTAGAAATAACTGGACCCAGGTCTGGTTATAAGCGTTAGCTACTACAGGTCTTCTTGGTGCTCTTATGGCCCTGTCTTCTACAATCCTATAATTAAGAGTTTTATAAAAGAGAAAATATTTCGGGTGCCTGGGTGGCTCAGTTGGTTAAGCGACTGCCTTCGGCTCAGGTCATGATCCTGGAGTCCCGGGATCGAGTCCCACATCGGGCTCCCTGCTCAGCAGGGAGTCTGCTTCTCCCTCTGACCCTCTTCCCTCTCGTGCTCTCTCTCATTCTCTCTCTCTCAAATAAAAAAATAAAATCTTAAAAAAAAAAAAAGAAAATATTTCAAACACATTAAGTGATTGATACAATGCTTTTCAAGGGAAGAAGGCAGTTCCTTCTAAGGCTGTCAGTTTTGTCAAGGGGAAAATGAAAAGAAAAAGGCAAAGATTTAATGGGCCCCTATAACCGTTTAACCGTTTGAAACTGCAGCATGTAAACAACTTCAGATTCCAGAAAGCTCATTTAAAGAAACTCAGTATACTCTGAAAAATGCAATATGCAAAGCTGTTCAACATCAACAAATTTAAGAGTCCAAACTAAGAATAGAGTATAAAAAGATGCAAATATTTCTGTCAAAGTTTAATACTATATTTTGATTAAACTGAAGAATGTTCATAAGCTCTAAGTACACTTAGCTTTAAGTTTATACATTTTAAACAAGAGAGGCAAGATAAAGTACACTTTTTATTCTGCATAGTTAATGTACAAAATATCCCCACTTCCCTCGAGAAACACTATCAGATCTAAAACACACTTTGATGAACACTGAATATTAAAACATTTTGACACTATATAAATTGACCAGAAGTGAACACAAATACATACACTTCAATTTTCAATATGCTAACAATATATCACATTGATAATATGAAGAAAAATATCTGGATTTATTTTTAAATTCAAAATTCTTCTGGCTGTTCATCATGGAGGGGCCTTAGAGGTGAAAAGGTAATCAAGTTACCACCAAAGGAAATGTGTCTGGCATGATCTTGATGTCTCCTCTCCACCTGAGTGAATGTATTACTGCAGTTTAGGCCTGGCTAGAGAATAAATTCAGAGAAGTCACTAAATCAAGGGTTTCACCAATTAAGCCTTCAACACTGCAAGTTAATAGTAGGTTAATTAATAACATAAATAATATTTTTATATATAGTAATAAAATTATTAATAGCACAGTGAGTTTGCTAGTTACCAGTGGATCTAATTTCAAATATATACTTTTTTTTTCATTGAAAAGGTATATTAGGTACATATGCCTTAAAGGTGACTAGTAATATGTAAATGAACTTCAGCAGTATATGTAGGATGAATAAAATTAAGATCCTATCTTAAGCCACTTACACAGATTCCACAAATCCTAATCCATATAACTCACTTAATAGGCTTTTTACTAATGTGATCCTACTAGGATCCTTTTCTTTGTTCCCCTTCAAGCCCTATTTCAGGTTCAAGTGATGCTATAGAAGCAAGTAATAATTTGGTTCTAAAATAGACAGGGGGACCTACAAAAAATACAATTAAAAAGTCTGAGTTCTAATATTTATGAAAGTGGAAAAGAATTCATAGGGAGTACCAAGACTTGTCAACTAGATAATGTATAAGATAACTGAAACACTTTTAATCATAATATTAGTATAAAACAAAATGTTATGATATATTACATTCCAAATTTATTTGTAATATCCTATATTATCAGAACCAAGCATTCAGAGTTCAGATCTGAGAACAGGATTAAATCAGGTTTATATCAATTGGCCTTATGCTGAAATCCCTGACTCTAAGATCAAGAAAGCAGACTACAGGTCACACTGACACACTTCATTCTGCTCCTGAGACACAGGCAGCCCAGAAGCCTGGACATGAAAAGAAGCCAACATATACAGAGGTCCTTAAGGAATTAGTGGCTTTGAAAATAATGAAAATAATGAAAGCCAACATATACAGAGGTCCTTAGGAATTAGTGGCTTAAGGAAGCCAAGCATTTGCCAGGCTTTATGAGGTTAACAAAAATTATTGCTTTAATCCTACATTTGCCTTAATGAATTTTTTATATTCTGAGATCAAAGATTAGCAAACCAAGGCCATTTCCTGACCCATTTTAGCAATTGGCTCTGGAAAATTTCAAGGTAAGGCAACAAACCAGGGTTGTTAAGCTGGCTACACATTAGAATCACCTGATAAAGGTCCTACTCCAGATTGCGGAAATAAAAATATCTGGGGGTAGGGCTGAAAAGCACTGCTGTAAACAGTAGGCAAGAGAGCACTATTTCATTCATGCCACAGGGCCCCCAATCACCAATATGAATCAGACAGCTCTGCCTAGAGAGGAATTTACAGACAATAAGGGAAAGAGATTCCTAAAATTATAATATGTTTTAGGAATATAACATATTCATATTATATTCCTAATAAGAGATTGTGTGCATTGTGCACCTATATCTATATATAAATTAATATGGGAGAGATGAGAGCTTTTCCAGGAAGGCCTCACAGAAGGGCTAAGGTTTGAACTAGATGTAGAGGCAAGAGGTCACCAAAAGTAAAGCTGGGGAGCCTCCAAATAAAATAGTAGGACATATCTATATATCGACATATATAGATATAGTAATCCAAAAGAATTAAAATGAAAATAACCAGTGATGACTGAAGGTAGGATCGACATTATATTCCCAACTGCACGTTTCTAAAGGCAGAAACCTTGCCTTATTTTTTCTTACATCACTTCGCGATACCTAGCATAACCCAAGCTACAATTAGATATTTAAGTATTCAACCAATATGTAATAACAAATTTGATACCTAAATTATATAGGGAAATAAATCTTCAGAATGTAGTATTAAAATATGCTATATTTTAAAGTTTATAAACATATTTTTTCCCATTTTGAGAAAAATGAGCAACAAGTGGATTTCATAGTAAATAACATGTAAATTTTAAACCAACTTTGTACACAAACTGAAAAGTGAATAATACCATTTTATAAAACAGATCTAGAATATAAAACAATTTTTCAAATTAAGTTGGAAAACTTACCGAATCAAGAAGATGGCATTCAGTAGTGAGACTTTTAATATCAAATACTGAAAAAACAAAACAAAACAAAACAAAAAACCCCAACTTTTAACTTTTTAAATATCCTCACAGTCAAGGGTTGTTAGAAATGGACAAAAATGATGAAAAGCTCCCTATGAAATGCTAAGACAAAAATATAGGTCATCTTATGCTATAGCATTTAAAAAAATTTTTTTTAATTATTTATTTTTGTGAGGGGGGCACGAGCAGGGGTGGGGGCAGAAGGAGAAGCAGACTCCCTGCTGAGCAGGAAGCCCAATGCCAGATTCGATCCCAGGACCCTGGGATCATGACCTGAGCCAAAGGCAGACGCTTAACCAACTGAGCCACCCAGGTGCCCATGCTATAGCATTTTTTAAAAATGTACTTAAATTTTTTTAATTAAAATTCTCATCCTTAAATTCAGTATAAAAAGAGTCTTCTATAAACAAATCTCATGCTTGCAATATTAAAGGTACCACTGAGTATCCAGGTTGGTGAATATGTGGATTTGGGGAGAGTGGTGCATTTGGAAGGTAGGGAAGCTCCGTACCCTTTCCCCATAACTTGCCCTATGCGTCTCTTTCACATGGTTATTTCTGAGTTATATCTTTTTATAATAAACACGTAATATACTAAAATTGGGAAAAAAAAAAAGGTACCCAAAAGATGCTAGGTCAAGAACACAGCTGGAGTACATTAAATGTCTGGCCAAGGTTACAGTTTATTTTGCCCCAGCCAGAACAGCACCACTGAGTAGCAGATGAAAATAGTAGGCGAAACTCACACATTATACTATAACAAAAGTCCAAGAGCCATTTCCTATTGCAGAACAATCACAACAAAGTAGATAGGAAAAGGCATTATGAAAGAAAAATAGGGCATCTTAAAGAAAGGTTTGAGGATGTGTGCTGACAAAGAGGTAACTAAAAAAATAAACTTCGGGGAATTTCTCTGAATTTTCACAAACAATGAAGAATCCAAATAGGTCTAATGTAAAATGCTACTTATTTCCAACATGGATTAGTAGCCATTAATAAGTTTAATAGGTATACTTCCAAAGGTCTGAGGAGGACAGTGGATACTATATAACATGTACTGATTCTTGTAAGGTATTTCTTGGGAATGCCCAATTTTTCAACCTTTACTCTTAGAAACTGGTACCCAGAAGTATTCACAATAATCTATGTTTTAGTCCAAGTTCATTTATTTAACAAAGCCTCATCTAAATATATTTAAAAGACCTCACCTGACTGAGAAATTTTAGTCTTCTCTTCCTGTAAGATGTCATTTTGTGATGGTATATTTTCAGGGCTGCTCATCAAAACATCCTGTGCTGTAACCAAAGAATGCAGTTCCATTCCTTCTACAACATCTGGAATTTCTTCCTTTTTATTAGTATTAATATCATCTGCCACTTCACCAGCAAGTAGAGGCAAATTCATTCTTTCATTGGGTAAACAATCCATCTCAAAGTTTATCTTGTTTGCATCCTGAAAGTAAAAAATGTTTTTACTTTTAATTACCAAAAATTGGAAAAAATAGAAAAAAGTCTTGTTGCAATTAAAAACAGTAGAATGACATTCTGAAGAGGCTAAAGAACATTGTAAATCCTACTATCTTGCTTCTTGAACAATTTGTTCAAAGAGTATTATAGCAATGGTATGATTGAAGGAAAGCTTCTCAGCAAGTGTCTATGATATTCCAGTTCAGTGACTGGCACACATTTTCTTATGAAGGGCCAGATGCTAAATATTTTAGGCTTTGTGAACCACAGAATCTTGGCCACAACTACTCAACTCTACCATTGTATTGCAAAGCAGCCAGATATAATATATAAATATGGCTGTGTTATAATAAAACTTTATTTAAAAAAATAATCTTGATGTGAGTTAAAGAACACAAAATGGCACTATGGTTTCAAACAAGACAAAGGCCTTTAAAACAAGAAGTATCATTTTAATGACTGGTTTAGATTTCCAATGGAAATTCTGGGAGTTGCTTATGGAGTTACTACATATAACCACATAAATTGCCTATCTACTATACTGGAGTAAGGCTTACATAATTTACTTCAATTAAATCTTGTAATCCAGGACACTGAGCATCTTCTATGTTGTTCCTAAAAAAGAAAAAAGTAGATAATCAGATAATTAAACATATTGCTATCTTTTTACTTGTGTTTTGATATTATCCTTCATGGGTCAAAGATGGGGCCTGGTCCAAGATCAGACCTGGTCCAAAGAAGTTAGTTTTGGACTACAGCTATAGCAGCAAGACTAGATGAACTCTTCCCCAGAAAGTTCACAGCCTGTTACCATGCTGCTCAGCCCACCAGCAATCTTTTGAATCTCGCCAAATCCAGAGCTACATACATACTAGGGAAAGGTTAGAATAAAGCCAACTCCTGGGGGGTCAGAGCAACAACTCAGTT